TCATTTTAAAGTGCCTTCTTGCTATCCGGACAAAATGGGGCACGGTTTCGTGAGTGTGCCGTAAACATTCCTGAGCGACCGAAGTGAAGTGTTGGGAACGTAGGATAGTACTATAGGCACTATTCGACTATCACATCCCCAAAATCTCAATTTTTTGTCGAAACTTTGTTCATAGGGTAGTTCGATACTCTAGGAAATAACATCCATTTTTAGCGGTGGTGCCATCTGCCGCCAGTTGGTGTCACCTTGTCACGACACTTTTTTCACCAAATTGAATAAATCTCTGCTCAAGGGTTTTATGTCCCTATCACGGATATGACATCAATTCTTGGCGCTGGCGCCATTTGGTGCCTATTTTCCGCTCGTCTGTGCCCTCACACTGATTAGATCGCAGTTAAGAGGTGGGTCACATGGTAAGTGGCTTACCATGTGATCTCACACGCTTCGACTTTTCCCACACAGTACCTGGTTCACCCACCTTGGAGTTCCTCTACTTCCTAAGCATACGATTAGCCTCAGGCACCGTGTATAGATGGAAGAGCCTAGGAGAACGGGAAATATGCGTTGAGCAACGAATGCCAAAAACGAAGTACTAGTAAGTCATATCCGTAATCAGAACCCAAGAAACCCCTATACAGGAGTTTACACCAAATTTGGTGAAAACAGGTGTCGTGACAAGGTAACACCAACTGACGCCAGATGGCGCCACAGCTAAAAACTGAATCTCATTTCTGTAGTCGGGGTATCGTATCATCCTGTTTCGACAAAAAATAAAATTTCGTGATTATGGAGTGTAATAGAATAGTGCCGAAGTCACAGTCACAGAATAGAACGGAAAATCTGGTTTTGTGTTGGCAAGGTTTGCAAGGACATATCAATATTGGTCCCACGGCAAGACTAGATTTCTTCTTCTAAGAGGCCAATGTGACTCAAGGGTTGAGAGTTGTCCTTACTACGAAAAGCATCTTTCCAACTCTGATGGAAGGCTATGGAAATCATTTGGGTTCTCAGTTGATTTTCCTGAAATTCCTTCGGAAATCTTTCGACTTTTTGAATGATTTCCCTGGCCTTCCGTGCGAAACACTAGAAAGAAGAAGCTTTCGGTGGTTCGAAGAAGAATCCTAAAAGTTTGAGCCACATTTTGGCCTTTGAGAAATGATGCTACGTTTCTTTTCTGTCTGTCTGGAAACTTTTCACTCTTACCTTAATGGAAAATATTGCTAAGCAGCAATTTTGGCATGAAATGTTATTCGCGTCTCGACTGTAAATTGTTTGAATCCTATTTCTTTGTTGCAGTTGATCTGAGCAGCGTCGATAGCGGAAGTTTCAGTTTGCTGGACCATTTCAATAACTCCGTTGACAAGGTAGAATGGTTCAGAATTTCGCGACAAATGTATGATACTCTTTACAAGACAAGAATACTAAATGTATTGCCTGCGATTGTCTTTAGGATCATGGCTCTTCGATTAATGGTGTGGACAGTGTCAAAAGTACTGATTACCCATCGTCAGGGGCCGACAGTGTGCGTAGGTTCGATAATTTGCTGTTGATCTGACCATGAGCGGTTCCCACTGGTAGTTCGAATTATTATACCACTCCTGGACTCGAACCAGCATCAAGGATTCTTCCGCGCTTGAGGAGAGGTGTAGGGTGGGGTTGCCTAAGGTCCTGGTGGAGACCAGGCAATGGATTCCGAAAAGAAGAGGGAAGAAGGACAGGATTTTGTATAGGAAAATTCAGATTTTTGCAAATTTTACAAATTGTCTTGGGAATTTCGGAATTTCCTCGTTACGTAGAGCATCGGTAAAAAGTCATGGCGCAGCCTAAGGGGATAGTGAACGTCTTTTTCGGATCATAACATATTTGTATGACAATAGATTACGAGTGGTTTAGAAAATTTGTTTTCTATTTTAATCTATTTTCGACTGATCCTGAGACTTTCCTATTAAAGTTTTCTTTCTAGCTGAATTATTGAATGAATGCCTTGTAAAGAAGTCTATTATTCAGGTCGGTTGGTTTAAGCACTTGATAATGTCGCGGTTTCCAACTGGAATTTATTCCGATGACAATCTTTTCGCCCCTGGAGATAGCAAAGAACAGCTACAGAAGGCAAGTGTCTGCTCATTCCCGCATCAAAGTTCCCGAAAATGTCGGTGGTATTTTATACAAAGTTTGATGCTCAGGCGCATCAAACTTTGTATAAAATACCACCGACAGAGAGACAGACTAGAGTTAGGTTTTCCATGAAGCGGAGTACCTCTTCAGTTGTGTTTTGTGCAGAAAAACGGTACAAATGTTTCACCTTTAAGCTCGAGGGATCGATTCGAGGGTTGGTTTCGTTTGATAGTGCGAACTTCATTGGTTATGAACATCCTCTCTGAAGGTATCTGAAATGTAAAGTGTCGAATATTTCGAGGTCCAGAGGGTTTTCTGATACTACTTTTCTATCCGGTATTCGACCCCCTTATAACCAGCTTGACAAAACGAACTCCTCACGGGAGTGTGGCTCCGCTATCTTACCTTCCTCACATTTTCCATTTAATTAGAGGCGGGATCACTGTGGACCGATTTCGTGCCGGAAAAGATGGTTATTGGAAAGGGCACCGCCCTTACACGCCTCCTTGGCTGCGAAAAATCTCAATGTGATTGGGATGGTAATAGTAGCGTTCTAGATATAATACTGTTATCTCATCTTTCGCTTTGAGTTTTCTTCCCAAACAGCTTTGCCTTCTGGTCCTAACTGATCTAATTTCTGTCTGATTACTCTTGTCAAATGGCCATTTTTCTAGCCTTTGAGCTCTTCTGCCGTTCAAAATTAAAGGGCAGGATGAGGGTTCCATTCCGCTGGATTGAAAAAAAAGAATTTTCCTAGTTTATTCTTCACTACTGGACCACATTGCAGCTCTACTTTTATATACGATCCACATCAAATTGGAGTCATAATTTGCAAAATCTTGATCAATTCTACTTTAGATCTGTGGTGCCGTTGACTATGGATGAACGTGTTGAAATCGTACTCCTCGCTGGCGATCGAAATCATCGTGAGGTCGCCGAGGAGTTCAACAAACTGCATCCAGGTCGTCGGCCGATCACCCGCAGCTGTGTTAGTAGGCTCATAGCGAGATTAAAAGAGACTGGATCCATTAGCGACAAGCCACGTCCTGGACGTCCGAGGCGGACAACATGTGGCAAGCACGGCATCTGCTGTTCTGGACCGATTTCGCAGAAACCCTGAGATGTCACTGCGGCAAATGGCGTCCGAGACAGGAATGTCCAGAAGCAGCATTCATCGAATTCTTCGGGCTCATAAATATGTATAGTGAAGATGGTAGCGATCAAATGATGTCCTGAATCGTTTTTGTCGTTGCAATTGTATATGAAGAAACGGGTTCAGAAAAAACGTGATATTCAAGGCTATGGTTTTCTGATGAGCTCCGGGGATTGACGAAATAATAAGGTTCTGAGGAAGGAGCGAAACGAACCCTATTAATTATTTCGTTCATGACGGTTTTTTCTTTCTTAATTCTCCTTCAAGGGTGAAAGTGGTGCAGTGGGAGTAGCGCCGCTCAGCAGGCGCAGGGTTTAGGATTAAGTCCTAGTTTTGTCTGCCAGGCTAACCAAGTCTATGCTACTATGACTCTGGATTCAAGTGTAATGCGTGGCGCATTCCGAAAGGGTTTGATCAACGTCAGATTTTTATGCTTTTTGTTGTCTTCTGAGACATTGTATGGATTTTAATTTTCAACCTCTGGGCTTTTCAGACCGTTCCATTTTTACAGTATTCACCTACGTGTCGTTCAATGCAAATGAATAAAAGAATTTTTTCTAATTATTGAAGGCGTGAGATTTAGTGATGATGATGTGATGTGCGTTGGTCGGAAACAGCTGTTCAAGGTAGAGTTCCTTGGGATATTTTAATGAGTAGCTTTCATTCAAATAGCAGGGGGAATACCTAAAATCGCTCCATTGAAGCTCGCATCAATTTTTGCGAAATGAAAAAAAATGGAAACTTGTTTCAAGAGAAATAAAACAAAAGGAAAAATGGATCAAAAAGAACGGAGCAAAAAGAAAAGACAAAAGAAAAGGAATATAGAGGAATGTCATAACAAACAACGAAGTTTCAGAAGGATAATTTTCAAAA